GGGAGGCAGAGGCAAGAGAGTCGCTTGAGCTCAGGAGTTGGAGGTTGCTATGAACTGTGATGCCACAGCACTCTACCCAGGGGGACCGCTTGAGGCTCTGTCTCAAAAAAAAAAATGCTTTAAAAAAAAAAGAATATGCTTTAAACTCCTCAGCCAGGTACTCAAGACCCCCCATGTTTTGACCTTTGCTGCTTATCTTTTAAGCCCTGTCTCCCACCACATTCCCTGGCTCTCCTTTTTTTGGCAACCACCCCTCTCCACCTCTGTGCCTTTGCAAATGTTGGCCCCTCTGCCCTGGGGTAGAGGGGTGATCACCCTACTTTCTGTGCTTTGCTCAGATCTACCACCCATCTATGAGTGGAGCCAACATCCAACTCTGAATGGCGCTTTGGGCTCAGGGTGGGACTTCTATTAGGGCCACCACGACTCATTTCGTGTGGCCCACTATTGCACATACACCTGTCACAGCCTGCCATGCCAGAGATTCCTGGGAATTTGTGTCTCCCCTGCTGGCCTGGAGGGCAGGAACTATGTCTTATCCTTATAGCTTTGACCCTCCAAACGCTTAACACATAGCAAATGCCTTATAAATATTGTTAAATAGTGTTGACACCCATCCTAAGGGTATCTTATTGTTTGTTGCCTTCTGAGGCATTAAAGACACAATACAGAAGTGGTCAAGACACAATACAGAAGTAGTTATCACAGGCAACAAATGAAGGCATTTTGGAAGGCAAGGTACTAAATCAGTATTAAGCACATCCGTAAAGATAAATGATCTGTCAACACTGGTCTATTAACACTGTTATCTCGCCTATTAAAGGCTGTCTCTGGAAGCAGTGAGTGTAGTTCTAAGAGCATTCACAGGATGACAAAATGCCACAGATCCTATGGGGATTATTCAACCTGCCAAAAAGAATCCCAGAGAAGAAACAACTGGTAATTCTAACCTCCTAACAGGGGTGCACGGGGCCCGGGGGGGGGGGGGGTTTAGCAGACCTTCATTTTCCATTATTAGGTGTGGGGCCTCTGGATTACTGGCATCAGAACCACCTGTACAGTCCCATGTAATCAGAGTATCCGCAGTTGGGATCTAGGGATCTGCATTTTACATAAACTCCTCGGAGGTCCGTCTGCTCAATAAAGTGTGCACACCTTCACCTGCCACTCTGAGAAGTACACAGTCAGTCTGGGAGAAGATAAATGGGCTATTTTCAAGTACAGAAAGAAAGAGCCCATGTTTGAGAATGCTTGTTCCTCCCAGACACAGGTGCAGGAGGTGAAGATCCAAGGAGTCTCAAATGTTTCCAAGGAAACTGACCAATAACTCAAAGTGGGCTGAGAACGAGACTTTGGAGTGTGGAGCAGATGGGCAAGAGGCTGTCTCTGAAATGAGTACCCTCCACCTTCCTGGGGGGCACTGATATGCAGGGGAAAAGTTAACACATTAACAGCCAGATGTTCTATCTTCTCAAGTGGTGCGATCACGTTTTGTATGATGAAGAGGGATTTCTCTTCCATTATGGGAGGCAGTAACCTCACCTTTGCCCCATCCTCCTCAATCTTCCCCTTAAACACCAGTTCCTCTGGGGGAAAGAAAACCCAATCTAGAAGTTCTCCCAGGCCCCAAATTTGTTTTCAGAGCAGAGTCAATATAAACACATCAAGCATGTCTTCACGGGAAGGGCATAGACAACTGGAAGGCAGATGTACATTTCCTACACAAGAGTGACAGAATGACCCGCCCAGGGTTGGCCCATTCTGCCATGTGAAGGATGTAAATGTATCACAGATATGGCATCATGAGTGAGAGAGATCAGGCATGCATGTGAGGTGGAGGAAGACAGATTCAGAGGTCTCCAGCCCTTCACTGGGTTCGAGACCTTAGATAAGAGTGGAACCTCTACCTTGCCTTAGCTCCTGAAGAATGTTGCAACCTTTGGTCACTGACCCAGGAAGCTCAGTTACCACCTTACTGATGGTAAACAGGCTTTCCAAATACCACTGGGCTAAAACCAGGCAGAGGCTGAATTCCGTATCTCCCATCTGGAATACTCTTTCATTCCCTGACCCTCATCATTTGAAATTTCCAAGACCAAGATCATGTGTCCTTTTGTTAGATACAAAAGCTTTCCAAGATCAGTCTCCATAGAGTTGTCAGTTAAAAAAAAAAAAAAAAAGAGAGAGAGAGACTTGAAAGGCAAGTTTTAGAATTAAGGGGTGAACCACTGCCAGCCGGGCTTGAACAGTTACAAATGGAGGGAGGTGAGTCTCATTCCTTCTTGGTGTGCTCCAGCACTCGATAGGGAACCCCAGAGGCGCCTCTGGGGCCGTGTTCTTCTTGCATGACTGGCAGTGTGGCAGGAGTGTAGATCTCAGAAATGCTGTCGTTGTTTTCCAGGGCCCCGTAGGAAAAAGAAGCTTTGAGGTCAGGCTGGACAGTCATGCCCTTGTCATGCATGTTCTGCATACCTGGAAAGAAATCCATTTCCCCCACATCATTACGTGGCAAGGGGGCCGAGGAGGCTGCATTTTCCCTCTCTCCTGCCATGGGCTAATTACAGTACTCAGGAGCTAATCATGTGCACTGTCAATTTCCCGAATGCTTTAGGTTTCAAAGAGACCCATCCATAAACATACTCTAGAAATATTACAGTTGCTAAGCAACAAGGGATGAATCTCCAGGAAATATGCACACAGACCAGCCACTGTCAAGAGGAACCCTCAGCCGCCCTAGAAGGAGGTGGGAATGCCTGTGTGGGCCCCAGGTGGAGTAGTGCCAGCACTGTGCTCTGAACGTGGTAGATGCCAACACTTCACTGCTGAATTGAATCAGAATCAGGAAGCTACATTACACTGGGGAGGAAAGAGGGTCATTTTTGCATCATGGACATCTCAAGGTGACAGAAGCATCATGGTGCCTGGAGGGAGATTTTGACCTTTAACGTTAACATCCCTGGTCCACATACAGGGGAAGGTGCTATTCTGCTTATTACTTCTAGGCACATTGATGTTGGATTCCTACTTACATTTGAGAGCAAAGACTCTAATCTTTAATTCCTTTGCCCTTAAACTGCAATCCCACTCACTAGTAGGGGTAGTGAGGTGGGGAGACCTGGTTACTTTGGAGGCCAACTCTTTTCCTGCTAGGGAATTAGAATCCTTCAAATTCTCCTGCCTCCAGGCTTGAGTCATAAGAAATTGAATGCAAAGTGTCTTTGTGAAACTATGATGATGATAGTAGCTGACATCTGACTGGTTAATGTGCCCTGGGCATGGGGCTAAGCACTTTAAATAGTAATAGTAACCACAGCTAATGGCTATCTGCACTGTTTAGAGGGTGCCAGACACTTTTAGAATTACAAAGTTTTATCTCATGTGTTCCTCCGGATGTCTGATGAACAGGAGGCAGTTGGAGGTTTAAGCAATTTGCCTGAGCTCACACAGGTAGTTAAGTGGCAGTGCCAGGGGTCACACTCAGGGTTTAAACTTGGAATCCCACAGTCTTAACTGAATGCTGTGTGGCCTCCCTATACATCTGCGCTTAACCCCCAAGTAAGGCAGTGACATAGATGAACTATCCTCATTCTCTATATAAGAAAACAGATTCAGAGAGGTGAAGCAACTTGCCCAAGGTCACACAGCTAATGAGAAACAGAGATGGGCTCTTATCCCCTCTGCCAGTGGCCTGCCAAGACCCAGTCTGTGGAAGGCCTTTTGCCTCTGTAGTGCACAAGACCTGGTCGATGGTCCCTTAAAGGGAGCAGTTTAAGAGTTTGTGGTGTGGATTTAAGGGGGCAGGGGATAGTTGAGGGGGTCTGTTTCTCACAGAAGAGAGTTGGCTTACCAGGTGTGGTTTAGATTTTGGATTTTGTCACTGCCTTCCAGCCAAAGACCAATAGGAATACACCTATAGCCAAACAATCTGGGTGTACTGATTTGTTCCAGGGAGAGAGATGTACACCACGAGAACCAGAAGGTACTTGAATAAGAGGATGTTAGAGAGGACTTATGATTGGGCTTTGGGTCAGGTGATTTGGGGGAGGCTTTAAGGAAGTGTGGCTTTGCTTTAGATCAGTGATTTTTAACCAATGCTGTGCAATGTTGTGCCAATTTTAATGATCATTAATTAAATTATTTTCAAAAGGGGTACAAAGCAAAGTATATTCTTTTCAACTCTTTTTTTGATCAACATAATTTAAGTGTGCTGCAGAAGCTTAACTATAGGTTCAAGTGTGCCGTGAGATTAAAAAAAAAAAGGTTGAAAAACACTGCTTTAGATGCTGTCATGAAGCAGGGATAATTCTATGATTGGGGATCTTGATAATTCTTATCTATAAGATTGAGGTTAAAACTGTGAGGGTTAAAGTAGTAGCAGTGGTCTCTCCTAGTAGCCAAGATATAAGGAGATGGTTGGCCTTTTTTGTGGCTTAGACACTGTTCATATTTTATCTGTGTCCAGACATAACTATGGAGTGGTCCTGTTTGTGTCCTGATTCTTTATAGTCACGGAGTGGCCTTGTCTGCTGTTGATGTTCTATGAAATTGTCTATGTACCGCAGAGAAAGCCAAGGCCCAGCTGTGGGTGGCAGGTCAGCTCCTGGAGGTTAGAGGGTATTTTTTCTCACTCATTCCTAAGAATTCTTTCTGGTGCTTCAACTACTTAAGGCCTCTCCAAATTGTTAGATACAGAAAGCTTTTGGAATTTGAATACCTCTTGAGCAGCGACGGGTCTATTATGAAGATACCACTCTATGTAGACAAGATGCTGACCAGGGAGACCCAGTGGCTAGAAAATCGTCTCTGTTTAAGCTGAGACTGTCTAGCAGTTTTATTCTGCACGTTTCACCTGGCACCAAGCAAGGGTTTGAAATTTTCCAAATTTTTTTTAAAGCAAAAGGCAAGCGAAACCAAATCTAACCAGGCATCTACCATGTCCCAGACACCGTGCCAGAGTCCTTTACACATAGGATCCCACTTCCCTACAAGGAGGAATCCCAATTTCCAAGTCAGGATAAGAGGCCTTGGGATGTTATCACATAGTGGGTAGACGGTAGAGCTGGGATTTGAATCAAGGTCATCTAACTCCCAAGTCCACATAGAATACGTTTAATCTCAAAGGACCACAGTGGGGCAGGGTCTCCTTTCTTTCCCATCTAACTTCCCACTGGTCAAAAGGTGCAAAGGAAAAGCTGAGAGCCACACCCCAAGACGGACCACAGAAGGTGGGTATCAAAGATTACCTTAGGTTACCTTCTACTTTTCCACCCAGAAATACCTCCGTATATATGTGTATACAAATATTTACATAGATATATACACATACATAGTTTATAAATGCACAAACACACGTATACATACACAGACTTGCACACACAGAGTTGACACCTCACCTATCTGGAATTCAGCTATCCAGCGCCCTCATCTATCCGGAACACAGCCGAGAAACAAGGAAGTAAGCAAAAAAGGCATCTGAGCAGCCAGATTAGATGTTTGAAAAGTCCATGCACTAAAGCTCATGCACTTAACTCCTAGCAGAAACCTTAGGTCCCCAACTTCAAGCTCATTTATTTTGATTTTGTACATTAACTTGAACAAGTCGGGTTAAATGAGAAGATTGTCATGGAGTTGTTAATGCTCAGGCAGGCTGGTCACAGCAAGAATGACAGACAACAGCTCAATAGCAAGAGAACAGGAAATAATATAAAAATAGACACATAAACCCTGCTCTGTTTAATGCAGAAGCAGCCCAGTCAGCCCTGAGAACACGCCTGCATCACAGCGTTATGGCACCAACCCTGCTCTTGGGTAAGCTGTACTCTGCGCCATCCATGCATTTACTAATTGTTCATTAAATTGGGACAATGGGCTCGGCGCCTATAGCTCAACCGGCTAAGGCGCCAGCCACGTACACCTAAGGTGGCGGGTTCGAATCCCCAGCCCGGACCCGCCAAACAACAATGACGGCTGCAACCAAAAAATAGCCGGGTGTTGTGGCGGGCGCCTGTGGTCCCAGCTACTTGGGAGGCGGAGGCAGGAGACTCGCTTGAGCCCAGGAGTTGGAGGTTGCTGTGAGCTGTAATGCCACGGCACTCTACCCAGGGGGACAGCTTGAGGCTCTGTCTCAAAAAAAAAAAAAAAAATTGGGACAATGAAGGATGGGAGATTATGTTTTGGAGAGAGTTCGCCTTTATATTTTTTATTTTATTTATTTCTTTACTATGTCGCCCTTGGTTGAGTGCCGTGGTGTCACAGTTCATAACAACCTCCAACTCTTGGGCTTAAGCAATTCTCTTGCCTCAGTCTCCCAAGTAGCTGGGACTATAGGCACTTGCCCACAATGCCTGGCTATTTTCTGTTGCAGCTGTCATTGTTGTTTAGCTTGCCTGGGCTACAGGCACTTGCCACAATGCCTGGCTATTTTCTGTTGCAGCTGTCATTGTTGTTTGGCTGGCCTGGGCTGGGTTTGAACCTGCCAGCCTTGGTGTATGTGGCTGGCACCGGAACCACTGTGCTACAGGTGCTGAGCCTACTTTCTATTTTTTAAATAAAAAATTAATTTTGAGTTAACGTGTGGAAGGTAATGGTCACCGGTAACCTACAGAATTTTATGTCAGCAAATCTGAGTGGGGCTGGTTCAATGTCTTTTCTATTCTGAATCATCTGAGGCTGGCCAGGCACACGCTAGTCCTCCACAGCCCCCTCCACTCCATACCGCACAATATTTAGCTGATTCGCAGGTTTATGTTACAGTCAAGCACTTGAATTTGTGCTTCTCAGTCTGAACCCTTAGCTCCCTGGGAAATTAGGCTTTCCGGACTAATCCTCTCCCTTGTGGAATCCAGGGAGTGAGGTTATAGTACTTGAATTTCATTCATCCTATTTCCTTTCCCCTTTCTGATCATTCCATTCCAGCTAGATGAATGGGATTTTCCACTTGCAGCCAGGAAGCCTGGTGCTGCAGATCAAAATTGTATCCAGTGTGAGTCAAGATTTCCTTTATAAGATCCTGAAATAGACATGGGAAACAGCAAGACATGCTCAAAACCAAGGGAGGTGCTTCAGCCATTGCTTCCTCCATTGCACAAGATTTAAAGAAACAAACAAAAAAAAAAGACAGTGGGAGCAGTCACACCCCAACAGCACAGCACAGCAGGTGGCTGTCTCTTCTTGAACAGGAAGTAGCAGTCATTCTATATGGACGGTCTGTTGGGCCCACGGGGTTTTAATGTTACCTGGCATGGCATCCATGGAAATATAGGGTTCAAATGGAATGGCCTTCTTCCTGTTTCGTGTGATTAAGAAGACGCCCAAGAATGCAATGAGGCACCTGAGGAATGGAGATACGAGAGGAAGAAAAATAAAGCCAGAAGTGAGGCCGGGGATTCAATCGCAGCTGATAAGAAAATGTAAGAAGGTTTGCAGGTCTGAGACCAGCAGGAGCAGAAGCCAGCTGAACAATCATAGCCTAAGAGGCCCCACGTGCCCTATGAGTGCCACAAAATGTAATCAGAATAATTTAGGCTCTTCTGGACAAAACTCTCATGGTTCTTCTACTCAGCCATTGTTCTCAGAACCTCGCTTTAATTTTTTTTTTTAATTTAGTGGCCTAAATTTAATCACTACAAAAGCACAGAAAGTAAAAATTAGGCCAGGTATGGTGGCTCACGCCTAGAACCCAAACACTTTGGGAGTAGGTAGGAGGATTGCTTAAGGCCAGGAGTTTGAGACTAGCCTGGGCAACATGGCAAGACCCTATTTCTTAAAAAGTTAGCTGGGTGTGGGCTAAGACAGGAGGATCACATGAGTCCTGGAATTCGAGGTTATGATGAAACTGGCCACTGCACTCTAGCCTGGGTGCACACTATTTCTAAGGAAAAAACAAAGAAATTAAAATAAATATTAAAATTTAGTAAAAACTGGAAAGTCCCTTTATTCCCTAGGCCCACTCACCCAGGTAGGTATATAGTCTTCCAGAGATTTTTCTTTTCCCTATAACTTATATAAACAAGCACACTTTCTCAAAATTGATGGGTAATTTTCACACAGTAAAAGGCCCCAGCCCCAATTACATAGATGGATGAATTTTAGTTGTGTAATGACCACCAGGTCAAGATAGAAAACTTCCAGCTCTCTCAGAAAGTTTCCTGTGACCCTTTCCAATTCATGCTGACCTTTCCCCAGAGGTAACCACTATTCTGAGTTCTCTCCCCGTAGATTAGATTTGTCTGTTCTTGAATTCATGTAAGTTAAATCATACGGTATATACTCTTTTATGTCTGGTTTCACTTGATAAAACATTTTTAGGATTCATCTACTTTATGGCATATATTAGTTCATTATTTTTAATTGTTGTATAGACCCTATTGTTTGAATATACTACAATTTTTTTTTAACTCTCTTGATCAACATTTGGGTTGTTTCCAATATGGGTCTATTATAAACAAATACTCATGTACAAGTCATTTAGTCAATATATGGACTCATTTCTTTTGGGTAAAAATCTAGAAGTGGAACTTTAGATCATAGAGTCTAAAAAAAAAAGCCATGCTTTTATGAAGTTTGTGACTTTCATTCATGTGTTCTCAACTGAGTTCTGGGTCAGCATCTATAGACTGGCCTCAAGTTTTCGAAATGGCAGCACAACCCGTTATTAGCTGAACTTACAATCTTTTTTTTTAACCATGTTCTACTGCTGGACATTTCTATTGTTTCCAATTATTTGCATATACCACTAATTAAAAAATTAATAAATAGCCTCATACATCTGCCTTTGTGACCCCAATGAAGCATTTTTTCCAAAATAAGTGATTAGAAATGGAATGTTGCATCGGAAAGCCCGCTCATCTAAGTTTTCATGTTGCCAAACTGCCCTCCGACATTAAAGTACGGCTCGAGTGAGGCAGGAAATTGGCCTCGTCACCCTCCTGCCAACACGGACTTACTATCCATCCTGTTGGTTTTTGCAACATGATGGTATCTTGTGTCGCTTCAATATGCATTTCTTAGAGATGAGGTGAGGTTGAGAGTCTTTCATGTGTCCACATGTGATGTTTTAGGAATGTCGCAGAGATTAAAGCCCAGAAGAGAAGAAAGGGGAAGCAGATAAAGCCCTCCGGGGAGCAAAGTGCTCGCCTCTAGCGGCAAAGCTCCAAAGCCCACCAGCTTCCCTGCCTCTAAAGGATGGACCAGCTGCAGAAGGAAGAGGGAGAGGGAGGCAACCTGCCTGGTGGGCTCCACGCCCAGCCACGCCCTGGCCCTGGCAGGCTGGAACTCACCCCAGCGCAAACATGCAGATGTGCAGCACGTCCTCCCCGAGGAAGTCCAGGTAAAACACTGCGCCTGCAGCGGCAAATAAGAGCAGACATGGTCAAATCACCCACTTGCTCTGTGTAGGAACTGGCTAAACTCTCTTCTCTCCAGGAAGCCAAAATGATCAAAAAATATTATGCCTATGCCTGGCAAAATATTAGAAGAATGGGATAAAAGTCGTTTGGGGGAACAGGTTGCCTTCTTTCTTCCCCTCTTCGACCTCAGTGATCTCCATCTTTTGATTCTTTGTAAAACTTTTATTTGGAGATAATATTAGACTCGCAGAAATAGTCCACTGTTCCCATGGACTCTTCTTCCAGCGTCCCCCAATCATATCATAACCATAGTGCATGATCAAAGCCAGGAAAATGGCAATGAAACACAGCATTGACTAAACTGCAGACAGCACTGACCTGTGCTTGCACACGCCTTTCCCGATCTTTCTTAAGATGGATAAACAAGGTTTTGCACTTAGCTATTAGAGCTTTCTAATCTCTTGTGGTTGGCAGGTGCCAAGCCTGTGGGTCCATTCCTGTGGCGTGGGCTGGCCCTGCCCTGAACAAGCCTTAGCTGGAATCATTTCATCTCTGCAGGTCTTCTGCTGTCTCCCTGCCATGACATATGCTTGTGAACCAACCATGGTGTTTGCTATTCTTTCCAACCCTGGCTGGCATTCACTTCTCCTGACCAAAGTTCTTGACCATGTGGTAGTTTAGCTTCTGGTTGCTCTGGGTTAGTGACTGATGGCCCTGGGTGTCGCTCACAGTGCAGGCCCTGGAGGGCTGTGCACCCTGCCTGCTGTGAATGAGGACACAGCGCTGCTTGTCTGAAGGGTTACACAGAGTACGTGGCTTTACTGCCAGACCTTCTTCAAAGACAATCCTTTGGTTCTTACCGGAAGATTTTAGTCATCATAAAAAATAGACAAACAACAAACTCTTTGATATGCTTGCAGCCTTCTGAAGCCACCTCTGTTGGGGGAGCCTAACCCAGCCAGACACAAACCCTTTCCCCTCCTTCTCTCCTCTGAAGACAAAGACACAAAGGATCTGGCTAGCCCACCCCCTGAGAAGTTCCGACAAAAGACCCTAACTTTCCAGGCAAGCTGTGGAATTTGCCTACCCCTACAGCCCCATATAAAAGTGATCTCTAACTGCCACCTCCACCCCAGGGCGCAGACGTCACCTTTACACTGCCCAGGCAGGTCACCCTCCCCTTTCAATAAGTCTGGCCTGAACATCTCCACTGCAGCCTCATCTCCACCACCACCAGTTACACCTTGCAAACTCAAAGAGCAAATAAAAATTTAGGGGCAGTGTAGAAGAACTGGAGAACAATAATGATCACTTCCCGAGCACCTGATGTAGCAGGGGCTGACCCTAGAAATCATGCAGAAGAGATGCCTGGTCACTTGGCCAGTGGCGGCCCTGGGGCCAGCAGATGATGGCAAACATGTTACAGCGCACACCCTATACAGTAGGGGACACTCTCATCACATCTATTACAATTCTAGGAGGTAAGTGTTATTACTTCTATTTTATAAATATGGTACTGAGGCTCAGAGAGGTTAAGTGATGTTCCCAGACTCACACAGCTAGTGTGTGGCCGCACAGGGCTGCAAACCCAGGCTGTTTGGCTCGAATTCCTGCACATTCTCTAGGAAACTCTGAGACAAGCAGAATAAGTGAGCAGCTTCAGCTTACAGATGGGGCAGAGCCTGCCCCCTTGGATACTGTCTCTGCTAGGGAAGAAGACAGAGCTCTACAGCTTGCCACCCTTACCTGCTGTGATAGCGACAGTTGTAGACAGAATGTAGCCCACGCTGGCAATCAAGGAAGAGTCGTACATCTGTGAGGCCTGACTCAGAAACCTGCAACACAAAAGCACTCGAGTCAGTGGGCTGCAGGGACGTCGGGCAGGTGAAGGCAAAGCTGATGGCAGTAGAATTTGGTTTGAAATACCAAGCTGAGGCATGGAAGAATATTCCTTGGTTTATAAAAACGCCATCCTCATGTTACAGGGCACCACGTGGCCCTGGTCTGGGCTCCATGCTTGGCTTTCTTCTTCCCCTAGACACACAGGATGAGGTTCGTCCCCTTTTCCCAACTGGACCATGTCCTTCCTGGTGTCACACCTTTGACCTCACGCTTCACATCACCTGAAATGCTGTTTTCCTCACCTCTCTATCGGTACCCTACTAACAAGAGCCATTCCTGGGTCTTTTGAACATCCCCTACACGCCCAAGAAACTCTTGCAGCACTTAACACATTCTGCCTAGTGATGTCATTGTTCTTCCAGACCAATTTTCTTTTGAATTTAAAAATAATGTGATCATTGCAGTAAATATAGGAAAAAGAAAATTTGAGTCATTCCTATTGTCATTTATGATAAACAAGAACCCCATTTAAGAACACAGTCTCTGTCTTTTTCCCTGCAGAGCAGTTTAGCTCTCACTGCACAGTTCCTGACAGTCACATACTCACCACTCAATTGTAAGGGTCTGTTTACTTGCGCCCCTCCTCACTCCCCCTGGAGCTATGAGTGTCTTGAGGGCAATGACTACTGTCACCTCTGTATACTGAGGGCTCTCAGTGGACTGTGCTGTCCAGGTGAATGAGAAGCTCCCTAGGAGGCCAGCAGGGACAGCCGAGTCATCTTTGCAGCCCCTGGAGTGCTCGGCCCAGAGCCTTGCACTGGCAGGGGCTCCCTGGGAGGACAGAGATTGTTGTGTGACTAAAAATAACAACAGTAAGGACAATAACCACAGAAGCAGCTCAAGTTTACGTCCCAGGCACATCCTCCCAGGGGCTTCCATGGCTCTCTTAGGTGGGGAGTATAGCTGTTCTCATTTGCAGATGAAGAAGCTGAGTGGGAGGGAGGAGGGCAGTGTGGCAGGGGCATGGCCAGGCACCATATGCAACACGGGGACCTTATCCTCTGCCTGAAAGGGGTGCTGTAAGGACCAAATGAGTTGGCTCCATCCAGCACTGAGAACAGAGCTACCACTCTGAGCACTGGTCAGTAGTAGCAGCTACTCCTGTGGTCCCTGCAGGCCATGAGGCTGGTGGGTCATGAACCCAGGACAGAGGTGGAGCCAGAGTGTCCCAGGCCTGTGTAAGCCTCACACACCAGTGAGTTCTGCACACCTAGGGGGCCTTGTCACCTGCAATGTCCCTGGAGCACCTCCTTCCTCCCAGGCCCTCTGCTGGGCACAGGGACTCAGGCCTGACCCAGACCTTGCCCTCAGGCTGCTGCCTTTTACTTAACTGCTCTCTTTACAGAGAGGAGGGAGCACCTTGCCCTGCTACTTGGGAAGATTTGGGGGAAATATCATACAGATAAGAAATGACAATTTTTATTTTCCATCCAGTGGACGAGTAGGTGCCTCCTGGGAATGGCAAAGCTTCTGAGGTTCCTGAGACAGACACCTGCCTTAGGGAAGATGGGAAGTGAGGCTGCCTCTGACCAAGCATTTCTCATTCTGAGGCAGAGGATGAAAAACCGTGTCCACTCCTGGCTTCCTCTTTCAAGCGGCATAAACCTTCTCCATGTGACAACTCAGCAGATCAGTAACTCTTCTCTTTCCACACTGGACACCAAACTCTAGTGATCTGAGTGTTTTTCCTTTTCTTTTTTTTTTGAGACAGAACCTCAAGCTGTCATCCTTGGTAGAGTGCTGTGGCATCACAGCTCACAGCAACCTCTAACTCCTGGACTCAAGTGAGTCTCCTACCTCAGCCTCCCAAGTAGCTGGGACCACAGGCGCCTGCTACAACGCCCGGCTTTTTTTTGGTTGCAGCTGTCATTGTTGTTTTGGCGGGCCCGGGCTGGATTCAAACCCACCACCTTAGGTGTATGTGGCTGGCGCCTTAGCCACTTGAGCCACAGGCACCAAGCCTGTTTTTCCTTTTCTACAGCTTCACAAGCAAATGAAATCAGGCCCCCAAGATGACAGAGACCTGAATGGCGAGGCCCAGCAGGAACAGAATGTCTGCAACTCACGCGGCCTGGTAGACGGTGGTTGCCACCATGCACACGAACATCACGTAGAAGATGGGGTAGTCGAGCTGCAGGTTCCCTTGAATGGACAAGACAAGCATCCCGGCTACAGCCTTGACCGTCACCACTGTCATGGAGCCTGCAGAGGTGGAGCAAGGACATGTGGGAGCCTCAGGGAAACGAGGGGAGTTAGACCCTGAAAGTTAGTTTACAACCCCAGAAGGCTCAGTTGGAGAAAGAGAGGGAACACGGGCAGACTCAAGTCAGTAATTTACATGGTGAAAAGGTATCGTTTGTACTGGGTCTCTTACACAAGAGTAATGATTCAAAAGGTATCATTTGTACAGGATCTCTTACATAAGAGTAAGTCTTACAGTAAATCCAGTTCTCTGAACCCCAGAGTGCCCAGCACTGAGCCTGGAACATACTGGAAGATGAACATGGGAGGAGGCCAAAAGGATCTCTGAATGGGTAAAGGAACTTTTAAAACTTTTTTTGACTATCAGTTTCATGTGTCAACAGCTCAGGAGCTGAGGTTGTTTTTTAGTGTTTAGTCATTCATATCTTTAAAAATATTTCCTTAGACCAGAGGTCTCCAATATTTTGAGATATATACTGCTATATGTACATACATACATTTCTAATACATGTGCATTTACTTATTTTATCCATATATATTATATATATATATATAACACTGTACTTACACAGTGTATATGTTATAAAACTTATAAAAAATAGAATTTAGGCCAGGCATGGTGGCTCATGCCTGTAAACCCTAGCACTCTGGGAGGCTGAGACAGGTGGATTGTTTGAGCTCAGGAGTTCAAGACCAGCCTGAGCAAGACCAAGACTCCCTATCTCTACTAAAAGTAGAAAAACTAGCCAGGCATTGTGGTAGGCGCCTGTAGTCTCAGATGCTTGGGAGGCTGAGGCAGGAGGATCATTTGAGCCCAGGAGTTTGATGTTGCTGTGATCTATGATGAAGCTATAGTACTCTACCCAGGGTGACAGAATGAGACTGTCTCAAAAAAAAAAAGAAAGAAAGAAAGAAAGAAAGAAACATAATTTAAAATGTGCAGAAAAATATTACAGAATTTGTAAATTTTTCTTCCTATGCACCCCGTGGACTGTCTTGCTTATCTCATCATGGAGAACATCGCTTTACTCAGTGGTATAGAATGACTATCAGATCCCACTGCCAAACAGGAGTTAAAAAAAAACAACCCAAGAATGATACAAAGGAAGCCCTTTGTCCTAGCTGGGCGGGGCTCCATGTGCCTCTCCGTTCATGTTTACTTAGCTTTCTTCTGCCAACAGCCTGCCATACATAATGGCTTTGGGGCCCATCACCCTTTAGGCTACAGTTTCCAAACATCAGCAAGCATTTAAAACCAGCATTAGTCTTCGGGATGTCCTGGTTAGTGAGAAGGGGATGGATCAACTGCCTCAGAACCTTCTGGCATTCCTACTCACAAGGAGAGAACATTTGGGGAGCACGATCCTTCCAATCCACTTGGAACACACTGACCGAGGAATAAAGGACTAACTCATGCCAAACACGAAGGAACCTCAGAAACATTACGCTCAGTAAAAGAAGCCAGTCACAAAGGGCCACATAGCAGATGGTTCCATTTATAGGAGGTATTCCAAAAGTCAAATCCAGAGTGACAGAAGGTAGATTAGTGGTTGCTTAGGGCTGGGAGGGGAAAATGCTGACTGTTCACCGGCATAGGGTTTCTTTCTGGAGTGACAAAGATGTTCTCAAATGAAATGATGATGATGATGGTTGTACAACTCTATGAATATACTAAAAAACGCTGAATTGTGTATTTACTTATTTTTGAGTCATGTACTTTAAACAGGTGAACTTTATTGGTATGGAAGTCATATCTCAATAGAGTTGTTTAAAAAAAAAAAATCAGGGTCCATTTGCTTAAGGTTTCTTGGATGTGGCTCCAGGTTGAAAAATAAATAAATAATAAATCGAATTACTGCAACCCAACCTAGACAGTGACTAGGGACTGTGACAGAGCTGGCAGTGGGAAGGACAGAGATAAATATTGGGCACTTATGTGTGTCTCATCTGGATGTTCTCAGAAGCCCCCTTTTAGAGAAGAGGATGGTGTGGCTTAAAGAGAGAAAGCCCCCAATCTGGGGCGGGGACTGGGGAAGCAGCGGGCAGCAGGCTCCACCAGCCCTGACCCCAGCCCGCTGCTTCCCTACTTGTACAGTTACAGCCTTGCTGCAACCCGAGTCAAGAGCCATTGCCATCCCCCTAAGACAGTGATTTTCTTCTCTTTTCTTTTTTCTTTCTCTTTTGAGACAGAGTCTCACTTTGTCACCCTTGGGAGAGTGAGGGCCATGGAGTCATAGCTTACAGCAACTTCAAACTCCTGAGCTCAAGTGATCTTCTTGCCTCAGCCTCCCAAGTAGCTGGGACTTTAGGCACCTGCCACAATGCCCAGCTATTTTTAGAGACAGGGTTCTTGCTCTTGCTCAGGGTGGTCTTTAACTCCTGAGCTCAAGCAATCTACCTGCCTCGGCCTCCCAGAGTGCTAGGATGACAGGTGTGAGCCACCATGTGCAGACTAAGACAGTGATTTTCAACCAGTGTGCTGTGACAGGATCTTAGGTGTGCTAAAAGCATTTTTAAAGATTATTATTTTTGAAAGAAGTTCAAAGCACAGTAAGTACATTTTTTTTTAAGAGACAGTCTTACTTTGTCCCCCTCAGTAGAGTGCCATGGCATCATAGCTCAACCTCCAGCTCTTGGGCTTAGGTGATTCTCTTGCCTCAGCCTCCCGAGTAGCTGGAACTACAGGTGCCCGCCACAATGCCCAGCTATTTTTTGGTGCAGTTTGGCCAGGTCCAAACCCTCCACCCTCAGAATATGGGGCTGGCACCCTACTTGTTGAGCCACCTAGTACATTATTTTATTTATTTATTTATTTTGAGACAGAGACCCAAGCTGTCACCCTGGGTAGAGTGCTGTGACATCACAGCTCACAGCAATCTCCAACTCCTGGGCTCAAGCAATTCTCCTGCCTCTGCCTCCCAAGTAGCTGGGACTACAGGCACCTGCTACAACGCCTGATTATTTTTTGGTTGCAGCTGTCATTGTTGTTTGGTGAGCCTGGGCTGGATTTGAACCCACCAGCTCTGGTGTATATGGCTGGCGCCTTGGTTGTTTGAGCTAGAGGCGCTGAGCCAGTACATTCTTTTTTTACTCTTTTTTTTTTAATCAACATAATTTAAGTGTGCAGAAGTTTAACTATAGGTTCAAGTGTGCTGTGAGATTAAAAAAAAAAAAAGGCTGAGAAACATTGTTAGAAGGGGAAAGGAAAAAAAGAGCACAAACCTAGCTTTGTCTTTAAATCTAGAATTCATTCCTGATGTCCGACAAGTTCAGGGTGGACCCCTTCAGGGCTCACCTGCTGGACCTCACTCCAGCCTGCTCTGAAGTGACCTGTCAGCTCACCTTGCCCTCATCCTGCTTTATTCTTCTTTCTTGGAATTGTTTTTGCCCTAACTTATATTATCCATGAATTTGGCTACTTGTTTACTGCCATGTTCTCACTTTAGAGTGGAGGCTTCCTGAGGAAGGGATTTTGTCTTGGGTAGGCAGGGACCCAGCTCCCTGCAGCCACTGATGGAGATGGAACAACCTGAGCGGGCCTCAAGCAGGAGGCTACAGGCTCTGCAAACAGAAGCCACATTTCATTTTGGTGCTACTTGGGGGTAGCAAAATTCGAGCCCCCAGGGCCCCACTTACCGAGTAATGCCACCAAGAGAAGAATCACGATGACGTTGTTGGCATTCTTCTCCTTGTAGAAATAGAGCAGTAAGCAGAACAGGACAATCTCCACGAGCTGTGGGAGACAGCAGGCAGGGGGTTAGTGGGGGATAGAGACAGGCAGGCCTGGGGGACCCTGGAGGCTGCCCGGAGTTCAGGCTGCTGATCCCTTCAAAGTCACAGGCACTCAGAGTTGAAAGGGAATTGAAACCCAGCATTTCCTGGGCTGCTGGTAGATATTCAGTGGACAAGGCAGCATTCTAATCACTAGATAATGCTGAGAAGGAATTCTCCATCCACCTTGGGCTGAAGCTTTGAGGGCAACGTGCCAACTTCACATCCACCCTGTCCTGGACAGCCAAGATTCATCAGGCTGAGATGGTCTCTTCCCACGGCTCCCATGGTTATCCCCATTAAAACTGGGGGTCAAAGAGGGAGACACTCGTTCACACGCTGTTTGATCCAGAATCCAAGTAAACACCCTCCCTGTCCTCAACCAGCCCTCTGATGTGTGAGGCTTAGCAGACAGAAGGCAGTGGAGGCAGGAAGACCTGGGTTTAAAGTTGGATGGATCTGCCTCTAAACTGATTGTGTGACCTTGAGCAAGTCACTTATCCTCTCTTAAGCCCGATTACCTCCTCTTTGAAATAGGAGTAACTCTTACTTTACAGGGCTATAATCATATCTTACACGTAACAAGTGCTCACTATACACCAGGCACTATACTAAGTATTTTGTCTACACCAATCTCACCAAGTCTGCACAATAACTCTATGAAGTAGGTACTACCGCAGTCCCAAGCCAGACAGCAGAGCAGGATTTGAACTTGCTCCTAGGCCACACTGTCTGATGACAAGAGACCCCGTGCCTGTTGTTTAGAAGGTAGAAACTTCCTATTAGACATCAGTAAGTCTGAGTTGAAGAAGCTCCCCTCTTCACATCAACGACTTGTCCTCTCGATTCCTTAAGAGCCCAGACATCTGGCAATAACATTCCCATGAAAGTGAGCCAGTCCCAGCACCCAGTGCCACCGCTGAGGCAGAAAACCGACGACAGCATAGCCCCCCTTGCCTATCTCAAACCCCAACCGAAGTTTATTTCGTCTAAAAACCAATGCAGAAACATTAATGAGTATTTTGGAAAATCGGAAAGAATTTCTTCTCATTAGAGACCACAAAACACAGCTGTTTTCATTTCTGTGTTTCTTCCTCGTCTTTGTTCCGGTGAATACGGACTCCTCTAGTTGTCATCACGGTGAATGTGCAATTTTGTTTGGGGCCGTTTTTAGTTACCGTAAACAATCTTCATGTTTTATGAAGTTGTCATAATTATCTGTAATTGCTGCAGAGACTCCATCGAGCAGATGTGGAGTCGCTCATCAACGTTCCCAACCACTAGGCATGCGTCCAGGGGCCCGAGTTTCCAGCCCTTCTTCATGATGACTCTTCCTGGTTTTCTAGTGCTGGAATAGCACGCGGTGTCTCCTATCGTCAGATGGCTATGTGCATGCTTGTGCCTCCCGACAGAACTGTGAGATCTGTGAGTGTGTCTCATTTATTTTTCACATCCACAGTTTCTGGCACATAGCAAACGTTCAGTAAATATTTGCTGAACATGTTTTGGCCAAATCTCTCCAGTCAGCAGTATTGCCTCACAGCCATGATAAAGTTAGAGGCATTCACTGAGTATCTACTACCGTGTTTCCCCGAAAATAAGACACTGTCTTATATTTATTTTTTTCTCAAGAAGACACACTAGGGCTTATTTTC